AGAGAGAGAGAGAGAGAGAGAGAGAGAGAGAGAGAGAGAGAGAGAGAGGAGGAGGAGGAGGAGCAAGGGAAGGAAGGAGGGAAACATAATAAATTAAGAGGGATAAATAAATTTGAAGAATGTTTGGGAAAATAAGAAGCAGCGCGTGTTAGAAACTCTTTATTATAATTACGTCTGTATATATAAATATCTAGATTTTAATAATGGCAAAAGAGATTAATAATACAATAATAGTAATAATATCTCTGATCGTGTAAATCAAGATTAATAATAATAAGTAAAAAGAACATTGTATATAATGTCGATATTACGTCGTAACATTCCGTGAAAAATAGATCTAAAAATTCTAAAAGACATTTCTATATATGTTTGTATAAGAAACAATTACAGAACAACTATTTAAAAAATATCATCTATACATATAATATAAATTGTTAAAACAATGTATTGATACATTTATAAAGATCGCTACGTTTTGTATACAGGGTGTCTTAATGGGCGAGTTCAATAACTATTAGCATCTAAAATATCTTTGTGAAGGTCTAGAGAAAAATTTGTATAACCAAAATTGCACGGTGTAAAGAGGGCTATCATATGGTGATAATAATTTTATTTATCCAGGTGAGGGTGCTTCGGGAGATATCAAGATCAACTTCGTTTTTTAAAATAAAATTATATAAATTTTTTATGTAATAACGTTGATTAATACTCTTAATGAAGAAGAATTAGGGAAATCATAATACGCAAAAAATTTATATATTTATTAATAACGCATTTGAGGCTTTTACGCGGGTATTATCTTTAATTATACCAAAATTAAGGTTTGTGAAGAACCTATAATTATTAATAAAAATAATAATGTTTAAAAAATGAAATTAACCTTGATATATATCTCTCTGAAATACCTCCACCTGAATAAAAATCATTATCGTCATATGATAGTCCCCCCGTGCAATTTTGATAATAAAAAATTTTTTTCTATACTTTATAGGTTCAAAGATATTTTAGATAAAATAATCATTGAGACATCCTGTGTGCGTGTGCGTAATAATAATTCATCATTTTGCGATATATATATATATATGTTATGGCACATTCGTCTAGGTGTACGTTCCACTTAACGTTCGCAACGCTCGCGAGGATCATTTTGTCCTTCTTGTAATCGAATATTAAGTAAGGATGAGATGATACACGCGATCGTTGCGAACGTTAAGTGGAACGAACCCTAGATATACAAAAATCCACACAAACCGATCACGATGCGCGTCATTTACGATTGATCTCTTGAAAAACCCAACTAATTCTCGCGTAAATCCAAGAAAATTATTCACAAAGTAACCACCGCTAGTCTTCATCGCTTTACAATTTACAGCGTAATGTGGATGTGGAATTAAAATCGGATGGTAGAATCAATCAAAATTGAAGAGATCGATAAGATTGACTGATTCTACTCATTACTGAATTGTTATTATATCAAGATTTCGATTTACGCGAACCTGGAGGCACAAAGAATTTTAATAGACGATCTCTCTCGAAGATACATTATTACATGCGTATCGCTTTGGAAGAGCAACGACGTTAGCCATTCGTTCGGCCAACACATTCATCCACACATATTCCGTTAAACACATTAGTAAAGCATTCGATTTTTGGTAATATTATAAATTCCTTAAGATTGTATTACGAGCACGTTAAAAGGGGAAGAAGCAGCAGCTCGTTGGCAGCTCGGTAGGCACTTCTCTCGTTAGAATCATGTTAAGCTCATATCAGACTGCTCATTGAAGATTGAAGATTATCAACTAAAGTTTACAACTCGATCAACCAGATAAATTTGATTTTAATCTAATTGGTCTTGATCTGTCGAATTCTAATCTCCAATTCAATTTTCAATCTCTAATGTGTAATTTGATATGGTCTTTAATCTTATACTGCAGACTATCTATTGTGAAGATTAAAGATTACACTAACGATAAAAACTCGTTAAATTTAATTTTGATTCGTTTTGTTCTAATTTATTAGATTCTAATTTCCAATCGTAATCTTCAATCTCTAATGTGTAGTCTGATACAATATATAATAGATTTCAGTCTGTCAACGTGACGCGAGGATTACTTCAATTTTCAAATACGTATTAAAAAAATATTCATGTAGTAGTTCTATTCGCGAATAATAAAGGATATGGTACATAAAAAACTTAAGCAATAAAACATAAACAATAAACAAAATTGGCCATTTTGGTGAAAAAAATTCTTATATTATTTCATATTTTCCAAAATTTTTCATACTTTAAAAATTTATGAAAATGTCTGAAAAACAGAGTCTGTCAAAGTGTCGATTAGACTACTTTAAGAAAAAAGCTACTAATAATTTTTTTTTTTTTTTTCAGATATATAGACGATCGACGCTCTTGTATAACAGACTGTATATTAAATAAAAAAAATATAATAATTCTGTATATATTTTATATATTTTGTTTTTTTTGAAATTATAGAATGAAATCTTAAAATATTTCAGAATTCATGTATGTATATAAAGAATTCTAAAATAAGTAGAAACTTTTTAAGCATCTTTATATTATTCCAATATGTATAAAATATTGAGAAATTTTAAAAGTTGTAAGATACAAAAATTCTATAAATTATATAAAAATTCTAAAAAAAATACTTAAAGAAAATTATCTAAGAATATTTTTCATCAAAACGATTACAGTTAAAAATTATCGAAAATTGTACAAACTTTCTATAATTAATTGGTTTATTTATCGCTTAAGTTTTACTGTTTATATTTTCTAGTGCTACTTTCTAATTGCTCTAAATCGATCACTCGCAGAAGCCTTAACTGGGTTTGAAAACATGAACCCATTAGTAAGTTCAATTAATAAATTCAATTTGAGAACGAGATACCACCTACAGATTAACATACGTAGAACTGCGCTAGAAGAAAAGAGTTAGGGAAGGGATAAAGAATCAGTATTTTTGGCGAGTCTGTGGAAGATTCTCAAAATATAAATAGAGACGCAATAAAACGCCAGAAAGGGAGAGTTAATCGAGAAAATGGAAAGTGTTAATAGCAGTGCCGCGTCACCACGCCGAGCCTATCTCGACATCATGCGACAGCGGAAAAATTAATAAAATTAAATGATATGTTGCTTCTCTTGTTAATCCAGTGGTTCTTAACCATAAAATGAGTAAACATAAAATTAGTTCTATATTAAATCAAGCACATAATTATCTCCTAACATCCCCGAATAAATGTATAAGCGAAAAAAATAAAAAGAAACGGAAAACTTACTATACGAATATAAAAGCGATCAGCATTTCCTGTATTTGATCAGCAATTCCTGTATAATATTACATCAACTCGCGTCTTGTAAGATTCCAGTTATATGGCTATCGAAAAACGATCCATGGCTTATAGTCGCGAAACATCCATGTTAAATATGTTCGTAAGGCTACTGATCGAAAGCACAAGTATACACTACATGTATCTAAGGACACTTTCTATCGTTTCGCTAATAAATAACTCTGCCGCATTCTTCCTCGTTTCGAAGCGTTGAAGAGGCGATAAATTTTAACGTAGACTCTTAACGAGAAACAGAGATTCCCGACGAAATTGGCGAGGTCCTTGTTAAAGTTCATCTTTATCGTTATGAAAAACTGCCATTGCATTATTTTCATTTCAATCTTGATTTTAAAGCTCGTTAATCTCTCTCAATTGTAAGAAAATTATCTATTGTATTAAAATAATTTTATCTGTACTTTAGCGATTTTTATATTGCATTTTTAGGCTCGATTTAGACAAATCGCTTTTCTTAAGATTATCTTCGGACAATATTACCACTTCTAATTACGTACAGAGGGCTCCACTTATTTTCGTTTTTCACTGTTTGTCCTCGTAACGGAAAGTCTTCGTGTTGGAGGACTCCTGTCGACTCGACATCGTCATGGTGACGGTCTTTTTCTCCGTGACTTTGTGCATCGATTGTTTCATTGTACGCTCTTCGACGTTATCGCTGCCTTTGAACGTCGACAAATCATTGCCGGATGTGAATTGCTTGGTCTCCTCAGTAGTCTCATAGTTGGAGCTGCTGATATTCTTACCGGGTGAGGACGTATATACCTTCGTCGTGACGGTCTCGATTTTGTGACCGGGAATGGTCTTACTCTCAATATTTTTAAATGTCTGATGCTGTGGAATACCACTACTAAATCGTTGAGTGTCCACTTGCTTCTCGGAACGAAACGTACTCATTGGACTGACGCCTGAAAATCGATCAGTCGGATATTTCGGTTGATCCTGCGGGGACTTTCGATCTTCGGCGATCTGTTCCTGTACGGTCTTGAGAGTCGGGGATTTCGTCGTATATGAGATGTGTTGAGGTGGCGGATACGAAGCGATACCGTCCGTGTGTTTTCTATCCGTAGCGTAACTCTCCTGATTGATTCTTCGCTCAATCGAACTATACTGGCCGGGTGAATTGTCCGTTATAATCTTTCTCTCGGTAACAATGTACGGACTTTTGTCTTGATAACTATCGACAATGTATTTTCTGTCCAAGGATCCATATTGATCGACAGTAGATCTGTACTGACTGTCCTTCATCTTTCTCTCAAGGGTGCTCTGCGTCGAATGTACCTTCTCGGGACTCACCAGGTTCTGTTGATCGGCAAATTGACTAATATGCTGCGTAGTGGACTGCAACTGGTCCAAAGTATAATTCATTGTTTGAATGGGCGAAGTTTGTGGTTCGTACGCCTTCGTCTCGTACCGAGTGGTGTAACTTTGATAGCCGCTCTGATCGCCCGCTACCTCACCGTCCCCGTCAGCTAAATCCGGCCGATTCTTATATTTAGCTAGACGAATAGCGGTCAGCCTGCCTCGGGCTTCCTCCAGCTCGCGTTCAATTCGCAAAACCTCCGAGCGTGCGTCGATTTCCTGCGCGATACCACCGACCATACGGCGGTTCAGGACTAACGACCTGTCTTCTTCTTGCTGGATAGCCTGTTGCGCGGCACGTACGAGATTATCGGTAGCACGTTTTACGGCATTACCAGCCGCTTGTAGTCGTTTTGTGCTCTCGCTGTCAGGGTCGGCCTTGACCTTGCAAGCGACCAACAGTTGCGCCGTGCTGCTAGCAACCTGCTTAGCGCTGGAAATCAATTTCTCCTCGGAGCTTACTCCTTGAACGAGAGCGTTCGCGGATTCTACGAGACTGTGAGTAGCGGCTGCAACCATTCGAGCGGCCGAAATCAGCCCTTCGGACCATTGTCCGTCATCAGAACTGGTCAGTGGCGTGCGTGATACCTTACCAGTCGCGATGAGTTCTCGTTGAGCGGCACTAGCGGCCTTTATCAACGCCGAAGTGGCGGCGGCGATTGATTTAGCGGCTTCCAGAATCATTTCATCAAAATTCATGTCTTCGTTAGCCTCCTGTTAAAAGAAAAAATATTTATTGTAAAATAAAGTAAAAATAATTAGATTTTGCTCGTTTTTTGTAGTGCAAAGTATAAAAAAAAAACGGTATAAATTGAGCGGTATATAATAAGATATTTTTAATTAATAAATCTCCAGTTTACAATATTACTAAGAAACAACATAAAATAATGCATTACTTTTACCGTTACTATTATTGTTAGTAATATTGTAAACTAGTAATTTATTAATTAAAAAATTTTATTACACCGCTCGATTTAGATCATTTTTTTTTTATATTTGGCAAAGTAAAAATAATTTCGTTAACAAAAATGGCAATTTTAGGAAATAATTTTTACAAATTTAGATAATCCATATCTTCACAATTCTTTTTTTTTTTTCTATACAAAAGACAAAGTCCTTCAATATTTTTAAAAAATTTTAATAAGTGATTCTAATTATGTAAACTGATAAAAAAAGCGTTAAATCTTTTGTATCAACATAATAGAATATACAAATGTCTCTTAGTACTCATCTGTTGAATGTTGATTTCTCCAATCGCCGTAATAATATGTTCGATTCTCGGTCGATCATTCACAACGACCAAGAAAATCAAACATATCTCGCGGAGACCAGAACGACTCGTGCTGTTGACGTATGCCGTGCCTGTCATTTCACAAATTACTTCAAGATTAAGAAACTCACCTGAATGCTTCTCCTCGGTCTTAAACTGGCCAATTTCTTTGCGGCTGCGTCGATACTGGCAGCTGCCCCGAGTAATTCGTTTTCTGCGATCACCGTAGGATCATCAGGATCGACCCAATCATTGCCTTTCAACAGCTCCGCTACCGCCACCAGTTCCGTTACACTTTGCGCGATTTTGCGCGAGATCGCTGGCAAAATATGCTTGTCACCGGATCTCGACGATATCTGCAGGATGGCTTGAAGCAATTCCCGATAATTGATCGCGACATCGTGTCCCGCCTGAAGGGTACGTTCACACAGCTCGGTGGTCTCGGCGCAATTGTGGGCCGCGCCCTTACAGATGGTCAGCATATCGCTGATGGACTTTCTACCCATATTGGCGGCGGCAATTATATCGTCCTGCTTGCAGCTGTTGCCAGCGGCGACCGCCTTCGCCGTTGATATAGTGATGCTCTTCGTGCAACGCACGAGATCCTCTGGCGTTACGTTGCTCCTCTGTGTCTCTGAGCTGCTGAGCGCTCGGATCTCTTGAGCTATAGCCTCGATTGTGGACTCCAACGCTCTTGTACCACGCGTATGTTCGTCCTCCACGGCCTTCACCGTTTTCAGCAACGATGTTACATTGGTCACCATTACCTATAGACGAAAATTAAATGTAATTTCAATACAAATTCGTTCCGCTATTTTCGTTCGTAATATTAACATCTGCGAGAGAAAGAGAGGGGAAGGAGGACATAACATATAGTTAGTGAATATAGTATACATTACGATTTTAATAGTGATCTTAAACCAATATGCTAATAAAATAATTACTGTATATACGTACTATTGCGTATTATTTACATATTAACGTACGCGTAATTAGTTAGCGTGTGGAGCACGTGTCTATTGGTTACATGAGTCTATTAAACGATTTTCTAATAACGAAACAATAAGTAGAATTATGTAGAAGCATTAATTAGAATTGTATGTAAAAACCTGTCAATGGTTTATACAAAATGTTGTGAATGAAATATACGTACCTAACGATGATTCGTTCTACATTTCAGATATAAACTAAATGATAAGAAATAAGAATTGATAAGATCGGAAAATTTCAAAATGAACAACTCATTAACGCAAAAAAAGTAATACATTTCGGCAAAATTATTTTACATGCCATTTTCAGGAAGTACAAAAAGATTATCATATTACCATCTTTTTTAATTAACTATTAATGCACATCGACATGTTGATATCTTGCACGATTTAGCAACTACATCTACGTAGAAGTATTGCGTACATATGTGGTTACATTTTGTATTTATCTTGTACAAGATCGCGATAGAAAACGCAACAGCGAAAAGGGAACGAAAATCTGGCTACATGAACAACAGTAAGTCAGACGTCCGTTGAGTCGGCTGAGAGCTTTCAGAAGTGGATAGCAGACGAATTAGTTCCTCCTCTTGATCAGACACGAACCATTCCGATTCCGAGCCGCCGACGTCGCTCAGATGCACGAACTGCTGCTGCAGCTGCTGTTCTAATACCTATCCCGGACCAGGCCAGACCAAAATTATCAATAAGACTTTCGCATTAAAGTCCACCATTCGCATCGTTGAAACATTCAAGATATACAAACAATTGCACTATTGTCGCAGCTATTACCGCGGAACTCGATCGTATCAAGAAAGGTGAGAGGAAGCGTGTACAGCAGGCGGAATATCGTTAAACAAACAACATAATCTTCTACAGAATGCTGTCCGCTAGATGTAAAAACAACATCTGTTGCTCATATCACACACATGATACAGATACGAAGCTGAACGTGGGAAACAACAGTTCAAGGTGGACTTTAATAGCGTCGGTCATATTTTGATCTGGATACCCTCATCCTATATCTAATGACCTCGCATAGTTCGAGAGCGATGATGAACGCTATCAATTCTATATAAACACTATATAAGATTTTAGTAGAACGAGAACAAAATCAGTTAGAGAGGAAATTCAGTCGAGGACGCTCGTCAACATTAAAGTCAATTAAAGTCCACCCCAAAAAAATATTTCTAAGAAAAATAAACATTCCTCGTGGTTACGTTTGAAACAAGATTATTGAAATTTGACGAGTTAATAGATTAGGCATACGTTAAATTTGTCATTAGTCTTCACAGATATTTTATTACACCTAGAGAAAAATATCGTGGTAGCAACTAATTACACAACTATACTAGTTTTATACTACGTAGAATTAATCTTTCTCGCTTTCTCTCTTTTAAGAAATCCTGTATGATTGAAGATCTTAGTTTCCATGCTTTCATTTGGGAATGTATTATATAAATTACCACCATCGATTAGTAGGTATCCTCACCGCGGTATAGAAGTCAAATATTTTCTTTCAATCGGTTTGTTTATCTGGTTGGGGATCGGCCTTATATTATTTGTCCATGATGTTACCAACAATAGCCAATTTTTCGAGATCGTTTGGTTATGTAACCAAAATGTGATATTATGCATTGGTAATATACAGTGGATAGTCTCGATCTTTTATTCCAAGCTTTAAAAGAATGGATACATTGATGCGTCTGATGGTCCATGATATTCATAGCATTTACCTCGAATATCACATTTCAAACGCATCGATCCTTTGTTTTTCTTTTGTTTAGACAGTTCAAGGTTTCATTCTATAAAGATAGAATAGGAAAGACCATGAATAATAACACGGATTTTTATCTTCATCCCACACTCCCTCCACACATTAACAAGTTATCGCATTTTTGATACTACGGTGATTCTTCGGTGACTAATTTAAAAAACGTGCTTCCATCTTTGCATATAAATGTTCTCAGATTAAATCGGCCATAATGCCTATATCTTGATTAATGTTGGCATTCAAGAGTTTGGCAACTTGATCCATTACCATGAATTTAGAATTTTGCTTTTGTTAACAATGAGCTTCATTTCCTTGTGTATTCGAGTCTTCGCGTTAGTTTCTTTATTATAAATGTTGCGAGAGTAACACAATGTTGTTGGCATATCACCATACGGTTGATTTCTTTTAATTCTACATATAAAACTTGTGTAGTTGTTATACTTGTTACTACTCTGTCTTTTTCTCCAAGTGTAAAATTTATAACTTCACCTTATGTAAATCTCTCTATGAAAAATATATAAGTTACATTGTAGATACTTAAAGTTTCAAAAAAATTAATGTCTGAAACGCGACACTATTAGTATTCGGTAAATTAATTATAATTATGGAAACTCTTTCGTTACAATTTTATATTACAAAAAAAATATTATATTTATTATACTATTTTAGTCCGCGGAGGACATTCTGTCGTCAAATTAATATATTATAGCGAATTAATTTAGATACGTTACTCCATGTTATTTGCAGAGATTAATATTTATACTTCCTTATTTCATTACAAACAATAGATTTTTATCGAACAAATATATATATATTCAATTGGATTAATGCTAGGCAACAACAGAAGCGCAAGTTGTTAGCAGTGTCATTGTTAGAACGTCACAGATAAATGCTCATAAAAACAAAAACGAAAGAAATTGCAACAAAAACAAACGAATTACCTTGGCGGAATCTTTTAGATGCGCCATACTGGGATCATTGATGGGTTTGCCACTGGCAGCTTTGGTGGCGTGTATCAGATCGCCGAGTGCAGATGCAACGTCCTTCACGGCATTGATTAGCATCACTTGGGCCTCTGGATTCTGACTGCCCAAACTGGCTGCACCATATTTGACAACCTCGGCAAGCTGAACAATTGTCGATACAGCGTTCTGTGCTGCGACAGCTAGTTGTTCCTGCGAAGATGCTGCTCCAGCCACTAATGTCTTCGTGTCTTCTACCAGGGCTTTCGCAGTTTGCAATATGTTCTCGCGATGATCGGCGAACGTGTCACCCTCGTTCTCAGCATGCAGCGTACCAGCGGTGGCGAACATGATGGTGGTGTCGAGATCGCCAATAATGCCAGAAACTGTGCTGGCAGCATTGATGCATGCCTGAGTGCCGCGCGAGCCCGCCTGTAATGCGGCTAATACCTGCGATACCTTCTCAGTTACGATTTTACTATGCTCCGCGACCTCTCGTTGAACGTACGCGTCACCGGATGACATCTGACATGTGCCGGCGGCGCGAACAATATCCGCGCAAGCCCGGCCGAGTTCTTGAACGCCGGTACGAAGTCTGGCGGATACATCAGCATTAGAGGCAGCCGCGGATGCTCCGGAAGTGTCGCGAGCGAGTTGAGTGTACTTGTGTGATATATCAACTGCTAGAGGTCCTAATCTGGCTACGTCGGTGCTTGATTTGGTAGACTAAAATTAAAAAGTGAAGTAATTTAATATAAGTATATTTTATGATTGATTCTTTAGCTTCATTAGAGATATGCATACATAATTATACAATCTTGGCCAATAAAGCATAAATTCCCGTAAACTAATATTTATTTTTTAATATGACTTTATTTCTAATAATTTAATATTTTATTTATTTTTACTTGATTCTGTTACTGTTTTTTCCAAGAAAATACAGTAAATTAAGGGTGCTTTGTAATTGCCAAAATTATAATATTAAAGACTACTCACCATCTCTTGTGCTAATCGAGCGATCTCTTTGGCAGCTTCAACCATCCTTGTCTGATAATCCACATAAGAATCTACAGTATCGATAGTGGACATACGATGATCCTCCAATCTCACCATCGCACGAGAAATCGTGTCGATCAAACCAGTAACGATACCCGCAGAAGTCGATATAGTCTCCAAGGTGTTCTGTAGCTCTTGAAGAGCGTCTTTAGTGGATTCGACGGTCTCGTCCACCTCAGTATGTAGTGCAACAGCCTTCGGGTTGCCGCCGGATTCCTTGGTGACATAAATCAGTTGCAACGCAGATTCAGCTACGGTCTTCGTCTGATCCAACAACACCATCTGTTGCTTTGAGTGTACCATATTGGACGCAGCACCGATTGCACCGGAAACGAGTGGTTCCGAATAAAGGGCGATCTGATTAACAGCGTGGCCAACATTCTCTGCCTCATACTTGGCTGCAGTACGTAACGGCTCTAGTTTCTCGCGTAATTCGCTTGCACTGCTCTCCATCTGATCTGTGAATCCCTGAACGGTATTTTCGCGGCGCGGCATCAGTGCCTGTGAAACTGCGCTCAGTGAAGCGGCGTCCAGTTCGCGTATTCGTGCCGACAACTTTTCAATCGTGGCATCACATTCTTTCTGACCAGGCGCCTTATCACGGATCGACGCTACTAGTGATTTGATTGAATCACTGACACTCTTGCTGTGATTGGCTAACAGCTGCCAGGTCGGCGGATCCTTCGGACTGACCGCGAGACTCTTGGCCGCCAGTACCATAGCGCACGAACCGTCGATAATGGACTTACCAGCGCTGGTAATCGGCTCCTGGGCGGCTCTAGCTGCAATAGATATCTTGGCCGGCTGGCTCGCGAATTCAGGAGAACCCGCGAACGTACAAAGATTATCGACCGCCTCGAGTAATGGTTTCGTGGCTTCTGCACACTTTTCACGGTTGATATCGGAATAATTTTGATCGAGCGCCTTGATTTCCTTAACAAGGCACGCTGTTGAATTGGCGACATCCTTGGCAGACTGAACAAAGTGCCGCTTGGCTACCGGGTTGCTAGTTTTGCTGGACGCGAGTCTACAGGCGTTACAAAGTGCGCTAGTATGCTTGGCAATCATAGTAGCAGCCGAAAGCACTTGCTGTTGCGTACTGGTCGGGTTACCGAGACTCTGACAACCACTGTGAATGGCCTGTGCTGCTCGCAGGAATTGCGCTTGATCCACAAGACCCGGTTTACCCGCTACCGACGTGGGATCGCTCACACCCGCTAGATAGGCCGCTTGAGCCGCTGCTTCAATCAAGCCGCAAATCGAAGAGGAAACTCCGCGAACTGCAATGGAAAACTGCTCGTGTTCCGATTTCTTCGCGTGATTTGCAATGCCGGTCATACCATCCCCGAGGCTCTTGCTCTTTTCCATAACGGTTTCTAAGCACTCGAAATATGAGGCGTCGGAGATGGGCTCGCTTGGATTATCCAACAAAGATCGCATGGATTGAATATTTCTAATAGCATTGTCACACTCATTCTGTCCGGGCGCAGCCGAGGTGCACACGTCAACTAGATAATTTATAGAGTCGGTGACTGCACGAGCCGCCGCCGAGAGTTGATTCTTCGCATTTGGAGCAGTGGGGTCAGCCGCGATCGATTTGGCGGTCATGAGAAGTTTGCTGGACGTCATACTAACATTCTTCAACGATACTATCACCTGACTACGGGTTTCAACCGTTGTCTGACTTGCCATCTCCATACCCACACCCAACAGATCTCCAAAAGCATTGGTAAATTGTCTCGATGAATTTGCAAGCTGCACAGGTGAACGTACGGATGACACTACATTCGATGATGCATCGTTCAAATTGGCGGCAGCAGTGTTGAGATCGCTCTGCAATTGCCTGCAAAGTAAAATGCAAAGTGTAAAAAAACTAAAATAGTATCTCTCTATATGCCAATTATTCCTATATGTAGAATAGCAAATAATAGGATTTTTTTAATCAGTTCAAAGCAAACAGAATATATAATTATGTAAAGCTATTTCAATCGTAATTTTAATTAAAATAAACTAAGCTAGAAATATGTTGTTTCGCGCGTACTAAAGCTCCAGATATTTTCAGATGGTGTTTAAAGGTCAACACATACTATGCTTTATGTCGAAATAAGCCTATATCAGAATGAGAATGAATTGAAAAAATTACATTTTATTATATTTTATATTCAGCGATACAATAGGCTTGTTCTGCTGAATTTCTTACATGATTCATCTCTTCTCTTTTTCTCTTTAACATGGAATGAAAAGAAAGATGAACTGTGTAAGAATTGTGGAACAGCTAAAAAGAATAGACCTAATAATATATAATTGCGTTGTTCGTTACTTAAAACCATGTGCTTGTTTCGAAATTGCGGCTCCGTTCCGTTATAAAGAAACATTATGAGAAACAACGAACGTATTTTTCCTATTGTTCTTATTATTTTTTGATTGTTTATAATTAAAGGAATATATTTCCTATTTCCAAGAATATTGTTCTGCTTTATTATCAATCAACAAAAACTATTTACCCATAATTCTTGCTTGTTTGCGGAAACTCGTTCAAGTTAAGCACTTGAGCCATATCTTCGATATTGCATATTGCTTCGTCGACATCTCTCTGTCCCGGTAGACAGGACACGCACTTATTCAGTGAACTGGAAACATCTTTTGCGACCGCAGCTAGATTGGCCTCGTTCTCAGGATCATCGGGATTCTTCAGTACACGTCGAGCTTCCTTCACCAATCGTAGCGATCGCAGGATCACATCGTCTGCTGTCATCAGCACCTTCTTTTGCGTTTCCGGCTGATTGGATGTGGCGGCTACACCACGTACGGCGTACGTGAGATCTTTCAAGGCAGACGCGGTTTCTCTAGCTGCGCTTCCGGTGTAATTCTCATTAGCCTGCTTAGCAGCAGATAACAGCTGCGCCATAGCAAATCCAACGTTCTTAGACGTGGCACCGAGTCGTAACGCGGTTGATTCAGTAGTCTCTTCCGGTAACGGTCGTAGCGAGGCAGCTTCGACGGCGCGATAAAACTCGCCTAGTTCTTCCTTCAGGCTATTTATCAGTTCCTCCGCGGCATCGAGCTCTAATCCGCCACAGGCTTCCCTGGCGCGCGTCACTGCCGATCGAAGATCCGCTAACGAGGATCCCAATTGCTGTGAAGTGTTATTCAGCTGTATGGCGGATGCCTGATCGGTGACAGTCGGCAGAACGGCTCTGGCTGCCTTCACGACAGCGGTGCCTGGTTGTAGAAACTGCTCGGAAGCATTTATCAGGTTCAACTGTGCCGTAGAATTATCCGGCTGTGCCTGCGTGCCCTTCACTCCCGATACGAGATATGGAATTTGCTGCGCCATCATGCGACATTCCATGTTAAGCTCCTCCTGGCTGGCCGGATTAGTGTTATGGTGGCCGGCACCAGAAGAAGCCGCAATACATTGCGTGGCCGTAGATGTGGCCTGTTTGGCGCACACCTCTAGACGCGTGATAAGTTTTCTACGTAACGCCGGAGTTGCTGCCGCTGTAGTCGCAGCTCGCAACTCTTCCGCTGCTTGGCGCAGTTGATCTTGCATCTTTGCGTCGTGCGGACTGCTAGCGCACTGTCGTGCCGCCTCCACCATCTTGGCAGTGGCGTCGGCAAGTAGCTTTGCCGCTGCCAGTAGACGCTGTTGCTGTTCTGAGTCTGTCTGTCTCTCTGCCTCACCTTTGATACTCTGAATCAATTGCGCGGTTGCTTGACCGACCACTCTCGCCTGTCGTACCATCTCACCGGCATCGCCAGTGCTAGCAAATAGCCTGTCTGTTGCAACCAAAATAGTTTCCACCGCACCTTCCTGGATGGATTCCTTAGCACGTTCTCTAGTAGCCGTCTTAATGTGATTAAGAAGATCGTTTAAGGTACGACTGACCTCGGCAGCGGCAATGCTCAACTCCTTCAGTAAGTTTTCGTCGCTGCACATCTCGTTGCAGACTTGAACCAGGCGTTCCACAGCCTTAGTTACTTCGCGAACGGCATTCATCAGTTGCGTCTGACACGCGGGCGAGTGTAAAGTCGGCGCTACAACCTTGGCGCAAGCTACCAACTGAGATGTAGCCAGTGCGCACTGAGTTGCAGCTGATATTACTCTATTCTGCGTGGCAGAGTCTTCACATGTAGCTGCTATATTTTTTGCTTTCAATACTAAAGCAGCAGTGGTATTGGCCACGGCTTTAGCAAGCGCGAGTAACATATCTTGCAACTCCCGATTCGAGTCATCCTCCTCGCCAATAGTTGTCAATACTTGATGCGACGCTTCACCCACTCGTGATGCCGCATTTAATAGATTCTGCCGCGGCTAAAATACAAGCAACAATTAACTCACAAAATATCCAAAAATATATAAAATAAGAAATAAACAAAAATATTTAAAACAATTAATAATTCGTATTTGGTGAGTCTTTTTAAATATTTTATACTCTTAAACGCGCGCACCTCGCTATGGGAACAACACACTAGGGCATACTCAATTAATTTAATTGTGCTTATAATTTTCATAAAAATAAAACAGTTTTTCGATCAAAACAGTACATATCAAAGAATGTAAAAATACCAACAAATGTATAAATCTTTATCGATAAAAAGTTATAGGCAATAAAATAAACAAAAGTTTCGAAAAATTATTTATTGAAAAAGAAAACTGAATATGCTATACCAAGAGTAATATTGAAGGGTTAAATAAAGAGATTACGTCTTTTAGCTCAAGTATGCCATGGGGAATATATGTATATTAATTTTATGTTTATTTATGTATATTCAAAAACTTTTATTAACAAAATTTGCATCTCAAAGATATAGTAGGATAAAGATCAAGTGCTCGTGAAGGAGCGCGATGCACTCATAAAAGCAGGTCTAATGTTATTGCGCTACAAAACTTAAATGTTAGTGCTTACATATTGTCCATAGAGTGTAGATGTTATGTAGAAAGGCTGTGGGGAAAGAGGAGAGTTGAAATAACATTTAACTATACGTTTGCAGTTAGTCAAGTATTATACTTTATACGCAGTTCTTCCATAGACACGACAAACTCACCTCCTTAGTCTCAGGTTCCGTGGCCTTCAGTAAATCCGAGAATGCAGAACATAGTTTTCTGGCAGCGTCTAATAGCCGCTCGCCGGATGACTCATCATCCATGAGAGCAGCAATCATTCGTACGCCTTTCGTCATTTCAGGTAAATTCGTGGCGATCGTAGTAATCGCTGCTCCCACTGCCGTATGATCGACGTCGTCTGCTGGTCCGGAAGTTAACGTGACTACCTGGGCAGTCGCAGCGTTCATTGCTGCGATCTGCGATCCCACGTTCTGTTTGTGAGTGTCGATCGTTTGTTCGATCCATCTTAGGGACGCCGGATCCGTGCCGAGTTCGGGTAATTGAGCCTTTGTGATCAGTTCTGTCTCAGCAATATGGATCACCTCGTGACCAGCGGTGATAGTTGATAATAAGGCACGTTGCGGTTCAGATAGGACGGATGTCACCTTAGTTTGTTGGACCTATAGTTTTGAAGTTTATATGTTGTAAATGTACGTATGGCCGTTGCAAAATCTGACTAAATAATTGATAGTATCACAAAAAAAATTTTCGCGTAAATAAATGCAATTGGGATCGAAACGTTTTGCTTGTAACGATCAATCAATGAACGTAAATGAAATGCGCGTACATAATAAAGCGGTAAACTGCAACAAATAGTTGCGGCGATACAGAATTTATTGATACTGATTGAACATGAACAAGTATTCTGAGAAAGGATGAATTATAAGTTACGCGTTGCAACAATTTTTATCTATCCAGTAAACACTGTACCGAGAGAAAGTCGATCAACGAACATGAAACGCAAACGAATCAGACCGGAGAAATAAAATTAACTGAAATAAAATTAACTTCTATGAACTGAAGAGATAATAACTGAAAATGTTATCGTAGTGTACCTACTCTGTGTCCGCAATAGAAGGCGCCTAGCATGAAAATAAATTTAACCGTCTATTAGTTCTTTAAAATTTCGCTCTCTAACGTGCAATATAATCATCTCATCGCTGCGACTTTATAAACATTTACAAAATAAGTGATACCGTCCCAAATACATATATTCCCATACATATATCCCCATAATCAAAATCGTTAATAATTACACAGTAGAGAGAGATACACGGTTTGCTAAAGTAAAAAGTTCCCGAAAGCTCTCCAAGTTTTACACTTCAGGCGCATATATATTTATAATAAGCAACTAAAAGACATCGACATGAGCTTGAGAGCAACTTAGACGCTTTTCAGAAATACTTACCATGGGCGGAGCATGAGCGATGTTCACCTGTCCACTGACGGTCGTGTACTGGGCACCACCTATGTGACCGGTTCCATATGGTCGAGCCCCTATAAATCACACCATGCACTCTAACTCTATAGCTGTATTTACAGTTATTAACAATCCCGATCGAGTCCTCGATACTGTAAATCTATTCATTTAGACAATGATTTTCCATTAAAAGCTAAAAGCGAGTTTAATGTGGTGCTTAATTATTGAATTTTATTATAAGCGACACTTTTACAAACGCTTAACGTGTATTTACAAAATAAAAGTATATGTATATATACAAGAGCATTATATTAACAACTAAGATCCGAGGATTCAATCGTGCAAAGAAATGCTAATTAATTAATTTTTCTAAATACATTAAAAAGCGATGTATTTGGATTTAAAAAATTTAAAGTAACCATAATTTATAAAAATAATAAAGTTTTGAAAGCTGCCATATACACCCAAATAAAAATCCGATAATTGAATATACAATCGCTATCACGGACTCGGTCCGAAATAAAATCTGGTTATTTAGCCACGGTCAGAGGCTGTACTTAATTTTTAGTTTCGGTTCCGGTTACGGTCTTTTTCGCTCTCTAAAAATTGGTTTTTAATAGGCCGTAATCTGTTAACTTTTTCTGTAATCTGTAAGAATTGATCAATCAAGTCGAATGAGAGGAAAATAATCGACTATTGGAGATTACAGAAAAAGTTAACATGATACAGCCTATTGTATCAACCTTTTCTGAGCACCATGCACCCCAAGCCAATCAGCGCGATTCGGATCACGTGATGAGTTGGCGATTCTCTGATTACAGACTTTCTATGCATGCATAACGTATTGTTTTTGTTGTTTACCATAGTTAATGCTCGTAAGGATATGTATGTTTGGTAGCTGTTGACGATCATACTATACATACCGAAAAGGTTAAAAATTTGAACCGAAAACCGGACTGAAACCGAAAAACATTTTCGATCCGGTTACTGTTTTGATCCATTAGCACAATATTTCAGTCTGGTTATTGATTTCGGTCCGATAAAAATAACTGTTATGATCCGGTTATCGATTTCGGTTTCGGTTCGGTTTCGAGTCCCTGATTGTTATTGATATAACGAAATAATCTTTAAAAAAAATCCCGATCAAATTATTTAAAGATGAAATGTGAAGTAAAATATGATGAAATTTCGCTTACCATCTCCTCCAGCTCTCATAACAGCTGGTATTGCGACTGAAACAGCTTCTACATTGCCTTTACCGACATTACTAGTCTCATGTTGCATGATGGTGGCTCTGTTGAATAAAAATGCGCATGTAAAAAATGTCAACTAGTATTTATTTAATTAAATTTTTATTAAAAAATTTTAATTTCTATTAATGCGAATTATACCCGTTAGAATCGGAAACCGTTCGAACACACTTGTTTGCGTGACGTTTTAAAAACTCTTCCATGATTGCATTAGATTAACGTAAAATATTGTGAGGATATGACGCACAATTGAATGTAAGTCGATCGCTTTAAGACGAGCCCGACTCTCATCGAGAACTGATAATTGCTCTAACACACTCTTAATAGCTATTATTACTTCTGTCCACATTCAGCTCGGAGGAGTTAACATGCACTGAAAGCATGAGAGATACTCACTTTAGTGGCGACACGCTATCCTCCACCATAGTAGATCCTTCATCTCCCTCAATACCGAAGTGATCTTTCGCTTTCTGTTTCTTCAGGATAATGTCAATATAACCAGCAATCAACTGGAGTATCTGCTCTGCTTCGGTAGTCTGTACACTATAATACTGATCGGAATAGTCACCAAAATCAAGGGTAAAGGTGTTCGGTGAGGCGCCCCACCGCCGCACGGTCGTCAACGGCCACGTCTTTAGAATTTCTTTCGTCTTCTCGTCGAGTCGCAGGACCGAATCCTTTGTCACGCCGAGCAGACGCGGTACTAGTTTGTTCTTGCCCTTCATCTTTTCCTTCACCAAGAAAAACGTGACACCGTACGTATTCAGTGACCTGGCGGTTTTAGTATACAGAACTTTGGCGTCCAACTCTGAGAGTCCAATATGCTTCTTATGTTCCGCGAAGACCTTCTTTTCGATTCCTTTCACTTTCACGTACGATTGCGGTAGAAACTCTTTAAGACTGAAAAAGAATGATATAAATAAAATGTTAATCAATGTAGCATCGAGGAATGAATATCAAATGCAACTCACTCTAAGAAACCTGGTTTATGTTTCTCCTCTTTGTGATCGCCAAACTGGATTTGGCATTGAATTCCGGCAAAAACGCAAGCCTTTTCTTGAGTAATTGGATGCGTACCGTCCAAAATCGCATCTCGCGCTTGCACATATAACAGCGATAATTGTACAGGATCGCGACTATCGATGTTTTGATCCGAGAAAAAGAATTTCCTCCTCAACAAAACGGTTTCGGATTCGTCTATACCTTGTTCGCGCAAGGTCTTACTCGGATCTATCCAATTTACTGTAAATAAAAAAAAAACGTTTAAGTCACACAAATGTATTTCGCAAACCTTTACCATGATATGTGTGGACGATAACAGAAGTTGAGCTAAATATTTATCAATTTAAGCTCGAGTGTTACCTTCGTCATCGGTTTTTAACTTCTTTCTCAATTGCTCCATCTTTGTATCTCTTTCGCCTTTCTCTTCTTTCTTTCTCTTCAACGTAAGGGTGCCGAAATTTCCAGGCTTTTGATTATCGTTTTCATCTTCCACCAGTTCACGCACCAAAGAATACTCGTCGTGATTTGTGATACCTATCTTCGTACATATCACTACCATGAGATTAGCCACTGGCTGGCTGTCGTCCACCAACATAGTCTTCAACGTTCCGTCCAGCATGCGGACCCGAAGTGTACGGAGCTTACGACGGTACTCGAGTAGATCTCCATTCCTTAATATATAGTAATCGAGATTTCGCCCGGGCTCAAGCCAGACTCCCTTCTTCACATCCTCATCAGAAAGAAACAGGCCATAATCTTTTGCTATACAAAGAACAATAAAGATAATTTGAAATCGTACTTTTATGATATAATATAGCCTCGGCTATAAGTATAAAGCCCTCAATTTATTAGTTTTTCTTGGAAAACACGGTAATAAAAGCCAGAAGAAAATTAACGAAATATTAAAATTGTTATATAAAAATAAACGTTCTTCTCAATAAAACTATTTTTTAATTTATTTTTTCTTACATATAGAATATTTACGTCAATTTTTGGAAATGCTCTATGGTTAAGGCTGTACAATATTTTATGGTACACATTTTAGAAATAAATTAAATATCTATTATTTAAAAAAAATTATTAAATTAAAAACTTCAAATAAAAAATTAAAAAACGCCTTTAGAGCCAACACAAGAAGGTCGTGTATACATATAAATTTAATATTATGTGATAACAAATTTATTTCTGCATATTAATAATAAATTAATAAAGCTAATAATTCACGCATTAATGAACATTTTAACCATTGTTTTCATCTTCAATTTTAAATTACAAAATAATTAAATCGAGATACATAAATTAGTAGTTTACAAACCGTCATATAAAGTTAAAATTCTATGCATAATCAAATAAGTTAAAAGCACGTGAATAAAATCCATGTTAAAATGAAATTAATTAATAAAAGTATTTAATATATATCGACAGATGACTTGTCCAACAAGTAGTTAGCAATACATTTATAATATACAATATTATATAACTTAAACTTTTAAATATAATACTGTATAACAATTTTTAATCTTTAAATATTCTTTTTTTATAGCACAAATTGACTAATGAGATACATTGACATTTCCGGAATATTTTATCTGTTTTATCCCATAAAAATAATACCAGTATTAGAAAAAATTTAATAAAATAAAATTTAATGTGTTTCACCAAAAAATATTGCTCCATCTATTTTTGGAATATATTGAAATATATTTTTGATATATATTGCGAAAAGTACTGACAAAGTAAATTGTCAGTAAAACTCGATAAATATAGGCTGTTTTCCAACTAAGACACAGAACATTACACTGAGTTCAACTACGTAAGATTGACACTTAACTTTTAATAAATAAAAATTTTTATACACAAAATGATAGTATTTCGTTTGAAGTTTTGTTTATAGTAATAGTAACAATAATTTCGTTTCTTATATTAAAAAATATGAAGGTTTAAAAAAATAACTGTTACCAGATTCTGAGATAAAAAAATTGTTAATTCGATTTAGAATCGTTTGTAGTTATTTGTAGTGGCACCGTTTAAAAGTTACAAACGATTAGCAATAAACAAATAACAGCATAACACTGTATTTCAGTCAGAACACTTTGTGTAAGACACAGTGTGTCATCTGTATATGTTGGAAAACATGCACCTATAATATATTAGGTGCAGCCAAATAAAATATCGAGCACTTACGTTGACCCATGTTACTGGCCTCAGCGAGTTTTTCTCTGATGATACGACAGGCATCATACACCGATGTGCTGGGATCGAATTGCATCATCTTGGTGGCATTCTTCTCTGGTATGGAGATGCGCAAAGATAGTGTAGCCATCGCGATTGCCTGAGGTGATTTTCTGCGTGCGCGGAAACCTCCAGAATCACTCGACTGGAAAAAAAAAAAATAGCCGCGCGAAATTAGATTACGTTAATCAAAGTAAAAGAATGGTTCGTTCGTCAATATTAATTCAAGTTTCGTAACATAATTTTGTTAACTCGCATCAACGGGTATTTATTTTCCAACCAACAAAGGAGTTACGCGTGTAATAATCGCGGACGTCTAGCATCTCGTCGATCATACGCGTGAAATTATATATATCTCGCAAAATTATCAGATGATCCCAGTATTACGTAAACGGCAATTTACAGGATTATGCGGGAGCACGCAGTTTCCGCTTCCTACAGCAAAATTGCACGCAACAAGTTGCAAGGATCGATTATTATGTCCTCTACCGCGTTATGATCCAACGATAGAACATTCATTGATGTAATCATGTAACATTGCTAAAAATTCATTCATATTATTTACACAGTCCGGAGAATTATAATTATTTGTATTAACAACATCGAGAAAGATAGGCGCCGTGGCCGTCGCATTAGCTTGAAAGCAAGTTACGATTTGTATAGAGATCCAGTTAGGTTCTTTACAAAGTTCGGTAAAACTGCAAATACCAACGACCTCATCAATTACAATGATCTTAATATATGTTGTCAAGATCATGACTCCAAATAATCTTCGATAGATTTTAATAGTTGTTCGTAACATGTTAAAAAATTATTGACACAAAAAGTTTAAAAAATAAATAATTAGATTTCGCTTGTTTTTTGCAATGCAAAGTATAAAGAAAACAACGGTCTAAATCGAACGGTTTATAATGAGGTTTTTTTAAAATAAATTTTTAGTTTACAATATTACAGTATTAAATGTTGGAAGTCATTCAGAGTCAATATATATGAAGGTCATTGAAGTCGGTAGTTGTCAGTACTATGCAGTTTTACTCAAGGTTCTTTACGTGGTAGCATAAACTTATAAAATAGATGAAGTGTTCGTACGAGAGAAGCTGAAAAGATAATATAACATTGAAGAACAGCGCTACTCCAGAAGTAGTTGTTTCTTCTCTCTCACAATAAGAACGATGGGGAACCAATTAGCTTAAGCGTAACTCTCAGCCACTGACTCTCGGACATTTATCTTCGTTGCTCTCGGCCACTCCTCGGCCTGCCGCGGCGACCAATCAATTTTATTACTAAAAAAGAAGAAAATCACTCCGCGACTATCTCTCTCTCTTTCTATCAAGTCTAGTTTTTCTCGTACAAATGCTCAGTCTATTTTATAAGTCTATACGTTTACGGGAAGGAGGGTTAGAGGCACTACGGCAACTACGGATTAAAATAATTTGCGCTAGACTGAAGAAGAAAGGAAACCATCGTAACTGTCTATATGTATAATATATTGATCTCTCATGCATGTTATAAAAAAATTGCATGTAAACTTACAGCAATTATAATGGTAATTTTGGAATTATTAAAAATGTATGTTTACATGTAAAGTCACAATAGTAATTAAGAAATTAAAATTTTTACATACTTTTTATAGTGTAGTAAATATATATACGTTATATTTTGGCTGTACAAAATTTTCTACGGGGATTGCAACATTCGTTTACATACAAGCATGGAAACATGAGGAAAGTAGAGGGGACCAAAAATATGCTCTTCCAATTTCAAACTCAAAATAATTAAATCGAATCCGATAGCTACAAAAAGACAAACTGTACTCGACAAGCAAATAATTGAATTCTCATGTTATACACAGCTCGCGGTGATTTATAAACATGTAAAATACTTCGTGATGATGATTAAGATATAATTTAAGTAGGCGGCTTCTCAAGAGAAAAGATAAACGAGAACGTACTGTTTAACTACGTTTGTTCGCCTTAATAAAGATTACCCCGGGAGATATCTCGCCGAGAGTAATTGCAAAAAGAGAGCAAGGGAAAATGTTCTGAGATATGAATAGATTAAATCATAACATTGAATTCAAACTGAGTGTCATTATCTCCGCTCTGGGGATGTAAAGCACGTCGGTGGTAAAGACGATTTGAGTGAAACATCGGGTCTCTCCTCATCGAGCAAGATTGTTATCTTTTCGCTAATTTGCAATGTGCGAAGCACGCATTCTTCCACGGCAATAATCGGCGTCGTTAGACGTCACGGGGATAAACACCCAATTTCGTTGTATTCAATCCCGAGTCGATCACAGTCGGGTTCATTCATGAGGATTCTTCCCGTGTGTCCTTTGTGAGAAGGGTAGGAGATATAGAGAAAGAAGAAAAATGGGATCCAGAAGGAATAGTGGATGCCGCATAATTCGTCGCAGGTATACACCTTACGCCAATGTGGATTTCCACCCTTAAAGGTTGCCAAGCAACGCCGGTCTCTGACTGTGTCAAACTCCGAGCGCAACCCCTCTGCCATACCCCTGGCATACCCTATCCTTTCTTATGAGCTTTCGATCTCGTCTCCGTTTCATCCACCTTCCTTTTCACTCCTCCCGCCCACTCGTCTTTCTCTCGCAATTTTCACTCAATTAATGTATGGTTTTGATTTCATTGGCCATATCGAATTTCTGACTTGGATGGGGGACCGGATGATGACCGAAAGCGAATGTGTCAATCGCAATGGAACGTGTCTAAATTACAAAAAATATATGCTCATCGTGAAATATTATATCGTTGAAGTATAACTTTTTAAAAAAGTAGAAAAGATACTAAAGTGTATATGATCGACATAGAAAACTATATGATTAAATCTAAACGAAATGGTACTATCCTTATTGTTTACTTAATTCTAATGACATGTATCATTAAAGAAGTAACAGTACGAAATGAAAAAAATTAATTTAAATAGAAAAATCTTTCATGTAAAAAACATTTTTAAACAAAATTGCAGATCCGGACTTTACGCGATATCTCCGCTTGTAGGGCATGTGGAAAAAAATAAAAACACGTATTATACAATCGGGTTGTAAGCTATCGATTAATATACATATGTACATAAATGTATATATAAAATTTGATCGGTTTAGTCGTTATTGAGATTCAAAAAGAAAATCCTCGATTTCTCAAAATCTGTGGGTAATAGAATTTTTTTAATCTTATATTCTTTTTTAAGCAGCTAAAAATATATATACTGAAACTGAAATCTTGTAAATCAGAGTAATTTGGAAGCAAAAGATTTGAAAGTAAAATATTTTTTCGCCAATAAATTATCATAATTAGAAAAGAGAATAAAATATAAATTTTAGATCCGTTAAAATGCAATTGTTTTTCTTTTGCTGGCAATTGCAAAATAATTTGTACAGCTAACGACGTTCGTTTCTTCAGAGAAAACTTTATCAATGTCAAATAGCAAAATTGCAATAATACACAGTTGAAAAAAATGTGTCGAATTTAACATAAACCGCATGTCGCAAACGGTCTACTCAAATTTTTGGGTTAATTTAATACAAGATGAACATGTTAGAAGGTTACACAAATATTATGTAAGAGAATAAATACAAAAAAGATAATATCGATACAATTAGTAAACAAAACGTGAGATACACTTTTTTTTTTCAGAAAATAAACATTTATGATATGTTAAATTAACACGTATTCATTTGTCTTAGAATTTACGTTTACTTGTCCATTTACTCATAAATTGTGTCATTTTGACACTAAAGAAACGTTGAATCCTTAAATAATATAATCACATCATGTTAAATTAACACTCGAATATATTTAAAAAAATTCAACACAAACTGTTAACACAGACATGAGTGGATCGTTTCCAACACAAATACACAATTTTGTTTACTGTGTACTAACAGTAAATTATTATAGAAAATTGCTTTGCCAAGATATGCATTTTGTTCATTCCCGAAATACGAGTCAATTTCATTCCCTATGAACACTACAAGCAATATTCAGAGTTTTGCTTTTATAAAAAAAAAAAGAAAAACGAAACAAAGTGACTATTCCAATGACGAAATGCAGAGGGGAAAAAAATCGTGCAACAGGCAATCACTCGCAGAGCCAACGGCGTTTTACTACGAAATTGAGAGCACCGTTGGCTATAAAGTTACTTCGTTCAATTCGCAATACGTCACCTTCCTATCCGCACGAACTCGATTCAGAGGGAATGACCTCATTACATACAACTGGATCATCAACTCCATGCATACCGCCACAACGGGATGGAGCCACTTCTCGACAATGCTGGCATTGATATTGATGTTGGAAATTGAATATTCTTACGAGAGGGACGGACGCGCAACATTCATCGTTGAAAGGCTGGCATAAAGTGGCATAAAGTGGTGAATTCTTTGTTTCGTTGGCTCATGTTAAATTCAATTTTTTTATTTACAAGTTTCGATTCGAAGAACAATTAAAGGCGTGAGAGTAAAGGCAGTTCAGTTTTTATGGATTTACAATTAATAACTCGCGTGTAATAGTGAGAAACGTTACATTCGCGCAACAGAGTTGCATTTCCAAAAATAAGATAACAAAGAAAGAGGGAGAGAGAGAGAGAGAGAAGAGAGTCAATAAATTGTTAGATAAACCCTCTCTATAGCGCACTATGGTTTAAGAGTTCGAGATTTTGGTCAAAACTTAATATTTAAATGATCATAAACTCTAATAATAAAAAAATTTCTTATATTTTTTAATATTTTAAAAGCACCATCACACCGAACGTGTTTAAGAATGAAATGTTCAACTAAATTTTGTAATAATAAATTTTAATAAACAATTTAATACATTTATACATTATGATATAATTGATTTATAATGTAATCTTTATTGCCTTTCTCTAGCCAGATTTCTAATAATTTTTCATATTTAAAATGATATTGTCATGTTATCTTTCAAATTACATAAAATATAACATATAATCACTTTTAAATACATAAAATAACTTTTTGGCCAAAATTTCGAGCTCTTAAACCATAATACATCGTACAGAAAATGAGAGACTTTTTACAACGATTTTGATGAAAAAAGAAGCATATGACAAAAAGATGGAAGAAGC